TCTGGTCTTCCTGGAAAAGAAGCTGCTTATGAGGCTTGTACTGGGGGGATTCCATTCTGGGGCCTCAGAACCTCCAGGGAGGGCGAAGGAGAGATGACTCCTCCCCCAGCTCTAGCTGGGAATTGGTGAAAAATCCCTGGCCTTGTCCAGGGGATTCCCAGTCGTGGTGACCCTCCCTTGGTGGACTCTCCCTGCAGGAAGTGACCAGCACATTTTATTTTCAAAATTTTCTATTTATTTGGTATGGGGGATTAAACTCAGGGCTTTAGAAACTTGAGTTCTATCTCCGGTCCTTTTTGTTTGTTTGTTTGTTTATTTAAATTTTTAGATAGGCTCTTGCTCAGTCACTAAGAACTTGCAGTCTTCCTGCCTCAGCCTTACAGAATCCTGGGGTCACAGGGGAGTAGCATCAGGCCCAGCTTCACGCTGACATTTTAAATGTGTGTACCTCTGTTTAAGGATTCATAAAGTGAACACCCCTCTACCAACCACTCCTTTTAAGAACTAGGATACTGCAAATACTTTGAAGCCCTGTGTGCTCCTTCCCAATCGTACGGCCTTTCTCTCCACAAGGGTAAACACTGTCCTCAATTCTGTGTTTACAGGCGTGCTCCTTTATCCATGGTTTCTGTTTCCTGAGGTCAACATGGGCCCGAGAATATGACATAGAAAATACCAGAAATAAACAGCATATAAATTGAAAATTGCACTTGATCCTGAGTGGTGGGATGAAGTCTTGTGCCATCCTGCCCTGGACATGAATCACCCTTTTCTCCAGCAAGTCCACACTGTGTGGTTTCCTAGTCACCTAGCAGGCATCCCTGTTATCAGATCAACCATGTGATAGCACAGTGTTTGAGTTCAAGTAACTCTGATTTCACTTTATAACAGCCCCACAGCTCAAGAGGAGTGATGCTGGAACTTTTATCACAACATATTGGTACAATTGTTGTATTTTCTTTTATTATGTAGTGCCAAAGATTGCACCCAAATCCTTCATATTGAGCTACATCTTCAGTCCTTTTTTATTTTTTAGACAGAGTCTCAACATGCTGTTAAGGTGTCTGGATTGGGTTTGAACTTCTGATTCTCCTGCCTTAAACCCCCGAGTTCTGGGATTACACATGTGCACCACCATGCCTGGCTTGTTCTATTTTATTATTACTTCCCTTTCCTTCCCCTTCTTTCCTTCTCCTGCACCCACGCATTCTTAGGGTCAAACTCAGGTACTTGCAGATCCCCTTATTATTAGTTATTGCTGTTAATCCCTACTGTGCCTGGTTTATAAATTAAGTTTTATCATAAGTGTGTACATAGAAAAAATAGTATACGTAGGGCTTGGTACTGTCTGTGGTTTCAGGTATTCTCAGGGGACTTACTATGTGTTCTTCAATGGTAAGGGGAAGCTATCGTATAATTTTTGGGTTCTCTTTCTGAACTTTGTACATGTCTATGAAACTCTAATCAGCATACTGTTTAGTTTTGCATCATCTTGTAAGTCTTTTTCCTCTTCAAAGTTCAGGTTATAAATTCATCCCTTTTGATAATGGAAATTCATTCATTTTTACTGCCATGAAATGATGAAATTACCATTACTTATTCACTTGCTTTCCTGTTGATGGACATTTAGGTGGTTCTGTTCTTACCAAGGTCACTGCTTTGAACATCTATGAGCCTCTCTTCTGAGGCTCATGTCCAAGAGTTTCTCTACCCAGGATTGCAACTATTGATGGATAAGAATAACATCTTCCTTCTTCTTCCTTTCTTTTTGAGACATGGTCTTGCTATGTAGTCCAGGCTGGCCTTGAATTCACTGCAACCCTCCTGCCTCAGCCTCCCAAGTGCTGGGATTACAGGCATGCACCACCATGTCCAGTCCTTCCTTCATTTTTGCTAGGGCATACCACTTACCCTCTGAGAATCTTGAGGCTCCACATCCTGGTTTTGCCAGGCTCTGGAAGCCAAGTGTCCTGATGCTTAGAAGCACCCTGACTTCAGCTTCTCTGTGACCCAACCTCCCAAAGTTACCCACAGTGGGGTTCTTGCGCTACCTGCGTTTTCTCATTTTTCCCAAATCAATTAGTGGGAAGGGTTAGAACAATTCTCCAAAACTTCATTGAGTACCAACCATGCCAAGCATAGAGTTGAAGGGACATTGAGGTGAATAAGACGTACTTTCTCCCCTCCAAAAACCCACAAGATGCTTGAGGGGCCAGGACATGGGCATAGATGCCAACCTCCCTGCCCACACGCAATCACTCCTTTCTCCTTCCTACTCATTACTTACCCCTGATGCTATGGCAAATACATTGGAAAACAGCCTGCTGAGCTCCTCCACTGACATCCTGCCAGTTACACGGCGCCCCCTGGCTATTCTATCTTTTTTTTGTTTTTGGTTTTTCTCCGGTACCAGGAGCCGAACTCACGACCTTGCGCTTGCCAGGCAGGCGCTTTTGCCGCTGAGCTAAACCCCCAGCCCCTGGCTATTCTATCTTTAGGCACCTTAAATTCAAATGACGAGCAGCCGGGATGCCGCGGCCCATCTTCCAACACACACAGGAGCCCCACAGCCAAGACTCATCAGGCCAAAATGTCAGTCACACTGAGACTGTGAAACTCTCAGAACCTCTGGTCACCTTCTTCCCTGTGTCTCCTCCTCCCAAGTCCCCGTTTCATCAGTGCCATCTATGTTCATCCAGGCCTTCAGACCAGGGAATGGGTGTCACCAGCAAGAGTCAATCAACTCAGACCTGACAGTTCAGCCTTCCAAAGCTCTTCCCAACACCTGCTACGCTCCTCCTCCTGCTGCCCTTGCTCAAACTCCCTTTCATTCTTTTGTGGACTATTACAAAATAGCTCCAGTGTGTGTGTGTGTGTGTGTGTGTGTGTGTGTGTGTGTGTGTACACCAGTCTGTGAATCTTCATTGTTAGACTGGAAATGTCTTTCTGGAAGTCAGGAACCAAGCCCTTACCATCTTTGTGTCATTGACTGTCAAAGCCACTCGCTGATCACAGTGAGTAGAACTAAAAATTTGTGTTTAATTCATAACCTGTAAATGTGACTTTGTTTGGAATAGGGTATTTTCAGGTGTAATCAAGTTAAAAAGACAGCATATTGAACTAGGGTGGGCTCTAATCTACTGTCCTTACAAGAAGAGGGAAACTTGGACAGAGACACAAGTAATGCCATGTGCGGATGGATACAAAAACTGGAGTAATACATCTGCAAGTCACAGATCTTCAAGCATTGCCAGCAACTACCAGAAGCCAGGAAGAAGCAAAGGAGTCTCTGCTAGGGCCTTCCACAGGAGCATTTCTCTGCAGATACCATGACCTCACACCTCTAGCCTTCAGAACTGTGACAGCACAAATTGCTATTGTTTATAGCCACCAGTCCATGGCTCTTAGTTATGGTGGTCCTAGGAAACTTATACGCTGACCCAGCCTCAAGCACAGTCTGACACATACCTGCCCTCAAAGGACATTTTGGACACTTACTTCCAGGATAGTCCCCATATTATTTATTTATTTATTTATTTATTTATTTGTTTATTTACTTCTACGTTGTTCGGTACTAGGGATTGAGCCTAGGGCCTTGGGCAGGCTAGGTAAATGCTCTACCAACAGCTGCACTCCCAGCCCTTTCATTTTTATTTTATTTTTTGTGGCATTGGGGATTGAGCCCAGAGCCTTCGTACTGAGCTATATCCTCAGCACCCCTCTTTAAATATTTGAAACAGGGTCTCCCTTTTTCTATGCATTGCTGGGGTTGGGCTCAAACTTGAGATCCTCTTGCCTCAGCTTTCCACAGAGTGCTGTGATTGTAGATGTGTGCCACCAGGCCTGGAGGGTTTGGGGCTTTTAGACACCTCACTGTCCCCTGGCTTCATGAAGTGTTTCTGGCACAGCCAGGATTCCCGTGAGTAGGAGCATGTTTCTTTCTGTTGAGATGCCAGCACGCATGAACCACGTCCGGGGACACTTCTGTTGCCCATCCCTCTTTCTCCTTCCCTTCGAAGGCTTAGAGTCCTGCCTTGGTCTCTGCTCAGGACTCTGCTCAGGGGCCTTGTCAACCTCCAAAGCACTCACTCCAGCTTCACTAGCAGGGAACTCATTTGATTCTTGAAACCTGGACGGTGGCAGAGCAAGGTGTCATTATTCCCACTTCATAGATGGGGAAACTGAGGCCACTTTCCCCAATCACATCACTCAGAAAAGGCAGAATGGAGCTCAAAGCCCTATCTCCAAAATCCCAGCTGAGCACTCATTCCCTGTGCCTCACCCCTCACCTCCTCTGGGAAGAAGGAAGGCTTCGGGAAGAGCAGGCATTGAGAGGGAGCTCCCCACCCTAGCTGGCTGGCTGTGCCTGTTGCCGCTGAGGGCTCAGCAGGGAGCCCTTCATAGCGGGGCTTGGAAGCTGCAGGGCACTGTGGAGACCACCGGCTCTGGGTTAGCACCAAGAGAGGCTAGGGCTGGGCAGCAGAGCCCAGGAGAATCCTATCTGCCATCTCTCCAGTGCTGGGTGCTGGGGCTGTGCCCACTCCCTCTCCGGGCTGGAACTGGGGCCGCAGGGCATGGCCAGCACGGGTGACCATCAGGGAAGATAAGATTCCAGAGCACTTGCGCCTGTCGTTTCTGCCCCGCGGGCTCCTGCACTGGCTCACAGGGGCTCGCTCTCCCAGGAGCCAGGTGGTACCTGAGCCGCTTCAGGTCGCTCCAGACCTCTAGTTCCAGTTATCTGTATCACTCTTCCGGGGAGCAAAGCCGAACCTCTGCCCTGCAGAGAGCTAAAGGGCCGGCGCCTATGACACATTTGGGGTTCAGTGGGCTGTGGGCACGCCAGCATCTGCGGACTTGAGTCTGGGTCTCCTTTCGGGAAGGGCTAGCTTTCTACGGGGCGGGATTTGTGTGCAGGCCGAAGAGCTGCCCAAGCTCCAGATCCCGGATCACGGTACCGCTCTAACTTTTCCGCTCGGCTTCCTGCTCTTGGCTTTCTCCGCGCTAAGTCGGTTTCCAGGCAGGGAGCTCAGCCTGACCCCGATCGTCGGGTCCCCGCCCTCCGCCCCACTCCCTGGCACTCCGGGCGCCGACCCTGCGCGGCGAGGCGGCCCGGCGCCAAGCTGGTCCGACTGGTTCTGGGCAGGAAGCCTCCCGCCCTCGCCCGGGGCCGCCGACCAGCCCCGCGCCAGCCCGGGCGCCCGTCGGTGCTGCCCGTGGCCTGTGCGACCGTCCGTGCAGCGATCGCGACCGGCGACCGGCCCGGCCCTGCCCAGCCCGGGCGGAGATCAATGCGGCTTTGTCTGGGCCGCCCACACCCCAGAGGCCGCTCCCGGGTCGGCAAATCGTGGCGCGGCGGCGCGGGGCGCGCGGGGTGAGATAAGCGGCCATGTGACCCTACCTGGGCGGGGGAGGGGCGCAGGTGAGGCGGCGGCGGCGCAGCAGGACGCACGCGGAGACCGCGGCTGCAGCGATGTCCGGCGGCAGGAAGGACTGGTCGGCGCTGTCCAGGTGAGCGGTTCGCGGCGGCTGGGTCCGCGGCGCACCCAGGGTGTCCTCTCCCTTGGCATCGACTTCTCCCCCTTCCTGGGACCCTGGTGCGGAGACCGGATCCTGGTCTTGCTGCTTCTCAGAGGGAGCGGAATTGGGGGCAAACGCGGGACCCCTCAGGTGATCCGGCAGATGTTATCTGACCTCCATAGCTTCCTGACCTCCCGTCGGGGCTTGTGGTCCCAAATTAGGTGCATGAAAAAGGCTTGTTCACACCTGGACAGGCACGGTGTGACCCCGTTTGTGTGTGTGTGTGTGTGTGTGTAAATTTTGGGGGCCTGGTAGGATTCAGCCTTATTTCTGAGAGAAGCCTCTTACTCTGCTCCATGTCTTTGGTGGAGTCCTAGAGTGGACTCCTGGGAAGTGTTACCCAGGCCCTCTTGGGACAGAGAATAGGGACAGTGACGTCTATGGGGTCAGCTGAACAGGGATCTGTGAATAGGATCAGACTCTCCCCCACCTCTTGCTGCCCTGCTGCCCCCTGGGGAAAAATAAGGGAGGCTCAAATTCTAAGTATGGCATTTTGGGGTGTCATTGGGCTTGGGGGCCTCTAGATTGCTGCTGACTCCTTCATGTTTCAGTCTTTATTTGAGAACGGGTCTCCAGAGGGCCAGGGGACTGGATACTTCATCCCTGCCTGTTGGGCAGTGTGTCAGGGTCTGAGGAGTGGGGAAGGGCTAGTGTCCTGCAGGCAGTGCCCCGGGGGGTTGGTGACTCCTCTTGGGGCAGCCCCCCTCTCTCCAGAGCTACTGAAGTGATCTCTACCTCCTCATCCTTCCAAAAGGAAACACCCCCTGCCCCTCAACCTATACACCTTGTCCCCAAGGAAACAGGCCCGCGAAGTAGCCCTTTGACCCCTCGGTTCCTCCCAGGTGGGTGTCGTCAGGCCTTGCATGGGATCAGGGCTGTCTCTGCAGGTGCAGCCCGGGAAGCTCCAACAATGTGGGCACCGCAGGCCTTCCCCATCAAGGCAGCATGAATTTTCCAGCACTTAAAATCTCCTCCTCCCCTCTCCCACCCTTGACCCTGAGGACTCTAGAAGTTCTCCTGAGCTGGCGGCCACCTCCCCACTCTCAGGACCTCACCATGCTCTGAAGCACTGTTGCCCAGTAACCCCAAATGCAGGGATTGATGGGGTCTAGGGAGGGGAAAAGGTAAGCCCTGAGAGTGGAAGGAACCCAGTGCTCTGGAAAAAGAACCGAGGCTGCTGTCTAGGTCGGACACACCCCAGGGAAGGTCGGTGCTGAGGGTGGGGCTGGGGGTCAAGGCTGTGGACTCTGCATGTGTGTCCACGGGGGTTGATGTGGCAGGGCTCTAGGTGTGGGCATATTGTGCTTCCGAGCGCATGTTCATGTATGTGTGTGGTCGTGTGCGTGGGCGAGCGTGTTTGTGGCCGATGTAGTGATGAGATGTCTGTGTGGGCAGTAGGTTCTCGTGGTGCTGAGTTTGGAGCTTGCAAGTCTGAGTATGTTTAGTGAAATGTTTATTGAAGACCTCAGTACTGTGAACTGGGTTAAAAATACAAACCAGACATTACTTTCTCAGAAGCGTACATCCTGGTGGTGTTTTTGTGTCTGAGAGCATTCATAGATATGTATGAATGTGTGTGTGTATGGGGGGAACAGGTGGGCCACTGGGATTTTTAAAATAGGAATGGGGTCCGGTCTTTTTGCTTGGCCACTGCTGAGATGGACATGGACTCGTGTGGCTGCAGAGGGGGGGTGCCCAGTTCCCATGGGATGTCCAGGCTAAGCAGCAGGAAGCCTGGGGAACCAGTCCTGCCATGGAGCCCCTGCCTGCCCTCCCTGCTGGGCCCTCCCCCAATCCCTGTGGGCAGATGCAGCTGCTGCCAACAGTCACCCTGAGGAGGCACCCGGGATAGAGGACCGCTCCTGCTCTGATCCCTGACTGAACAACAAGCCTTGGCGGGCAGGCAGGAAAGGGCTGTGAGTCACTGTCAACTGAGGCTCCCAGGCTGGGGAGGACTGTGCAGAGGGTGTGAGCAGTGTGGCTCCAGCCAGCGCCCAGGTGGGGAGTCAGGAGCGGTGCTGAGGGCCAGCCTGCAGCACGCTTGGGCAGTAAGTAAGCTTCAGACGCTCCAGCCCTGGGATGGGGGCCGTGATGAGCTGGCTGGCTGGCTTCTCTGGTCAGCAGCCTTGTCCTTTCCTCCCTGGGCTGACCTGGTGACCTGTGAGGGTGAAGCTAGGCCAGGCCTGTCTGCAGGGGGTGAGGGGCGGGTCTGAGGGTGCCTGGGATGGGGCAGCCCCTGGTTAATCATTTCCCTGCCTGGGCCTTGAGCAGCCCTCCCACCTCCAAGCACTTCCCTGAGCTCTCCTGACACTTCCCCCTAGACCAGCTGGGCCTGAAGGGACCTCAGACCACAATGACGCCTCAGGAAGTGGAAGGGGAGCAAGTGGAAGGGGAGCCCAAGGCCTGCCTGCTCAGGGCCTGAAGTTTGGCCCAAGGTCATGGACTCCCTTTTCTGTTCTTTCCTTCCTAACCCTTGCTCCTTGGGTTCACAAAATGCTTCCAAGGCAACTCTCCCATCCTCTTCCGACTTTAACTAGAGCAGCTGAGCCTTGAGATGCCTTATGTGATTCAACTTGGGAAAATAGTTTCTACTGCTAAAGAAAACATCTAACAAGCACTGTACTTACACTCCTGCGGTAAGGTAGATAGAATTTAGACATCAAGAAGAAAACCCCTGGGGAGAGATGGAAACAAGTTCTCCAGTGAGCAGCAGGGCAGGATGGCTTTAGAATTAAGAGAAAGAGGACAAGGACTCCATCCCGAAAGGATGGAGTTGGTGCAGTCAGGAGCCCTACATGGAGCCAGGAGAGGACTGTGATTCCCCAGATGCAGGCCAGGAGGTAGAAGGGAGGGTTCTGGAGAAGGAAGGAGGGGTGGGAATCTTCCCAGGGCAGTGGCATCAGCTGATGAGAATGACTGGGATCCCCAGCTGTTGAGGCCTGCAGGTTCCACCTAGGGCCTGGCTCTGGGGCTTGGGGTCATTGGGTTCCCTCAGACCTTTTTCTCTGAGTGCCCTGAGCTCTGGCTTGTCCTGGGGTAGAGAATCCTGGAGCATCAGGGCTCCCTTGTTCCTTTACTATGTGTTTGGCTGTTGACCTCCTAAGGTGGTACTGCCTCTTGGTTAGGACCAGTGGTCCCCCAACCCCTCCATTCTTGTCTGGCAGTTGATATCATAGTTAAGGGCATGATGTTTTGAAAGGCTGACTTAGATCAGAATCTTGCTTCCTATTTTTTTTTTTTTTTTGTATTAACTGTGCTGTCTTTGTAAAGTTATTAACCCCTCTGGACCTCCTTGAGTGTAAATTGGAGATAATACCACCTTATCATACAGATTTATGAGGATTAATGTCCAGGAATTGTAAAATCTAAGAATAGTGCCTAGCATTCTTAGTATTCTCATCTCCTCCTCTATTCTCTTACTTATTGGTTTATTTTTCATTGTATTCAACCAATGTGACGTCCTGTTCTAAGCCTCTGTTATGGATTTATTGTTGAGGTTACAACAAATGCACCTGCCCAGGACTGACCTTTGCCTTTCTTTTGCTCCCATTTCTGTCCTCTTTAGAGGCCAATAATCTTTGCTTATTGGAGATAACATTCCTCCCCAGGGTGGTGATGGTGGTATCCTGTGATTCTTGAGCAGCAGGGGTGGTGGCCATGTCTCATGTCACGGGTGAGTGGTGGGGTCTTGGGGTAAAGCTTGGGACCACTGGCGGACCCTTGGGGCCCATCTCCTACAGCAGCTCTGGAGACCCCTGGCCCAGCCTGGGGAGTGAGTCACTTCTGAGGAGACCAGGCTCAGGCAGATCACAGGTCATATATGACTGCATAGGAGGATAAACAAATATGCAGCTTCCCTGAGGGCTGAGAGTGGCGTGTGGGAACCAGGTTGCTCAGGACCAAAGAATCCTGGAGGCAGTAGCCCAGCCCTGCTATGGGTGTGGTGGTGGTGGTGGTGGTGGGAGGAGCTTTGGGTTTTGTGGGTCAATTTCTGCAGTATATGGACCTTTTCTGGAGGGCAAGAGCTGTTCCTAAACTAAAACCAGGGCAGGGGTGCATCTAGAGAAGAAGAGAGCTGACGAGGTGACCTCAGATGAAAAGCAGAAGAGCTGCCAGGAAGTCTGAATAAGAGAAGTCAAACAGAGGTGGCTATCAGCCTGGCTCATAAGAGACCAGTTTGTGTGAGCGAGTGGACGAATGAGTGAATCTGCAGATACATGGAGCTCACAGGGCTCATGTGAAGGCCCAGGGGAATATTACTTAAGTTCTGTGGTCAAGGCCAACAGGGGAGAAGTTCGGCTGGGGCCCTTCTTTGTTGCTGTTGGGGTGGAGTAGAGGTGTGACTGATGGGGATGAGGCTGTCACCAAGAACAGCTGCTCTGATGGCAGAACGGGAGGGTTTAGATGATGCTCTTCCAAGGCAGCTCCTTCCCTGTGGGCTGATGTGCAGGTGCCTTCCCTATGCAGGTTACCTTTGTGGGCTCAGGCTTGTGCTCCCCAGTTTATGCTTTTCTGGATCAAGGCACCCGCTTGGAGATTCCTAGGGAGGAGGAGGAGGAGGAGGAGGACAAAGAGGAGGGAGAGGAGGGGGGGGAAGGGGAAGGGGAGGGGAGAGGAGGGGGAGGAAGAAGAAGAAGAGGGAAGGGGAGGGGGAAGTGGGGGGGAGGAGGAGGAGGAGGAGGAAGAAGAGCAGCAGCCTGCAGTGCTGAGAGCTGACATTTACAGTTGTCATCTGCTGTGCACAGGCCACCATGCTAAGTACTAGGGGTCTCCTGGGCCCTCTGCTGTGCCCTTGCTCCCTATCCAGCTTGCCTACAGGCCTCTCTCCAGCCCTAGCTTGTCCTTGTCTGCTGAATGCCCAGCTCCTCAGGCCGGGGCTCTGCTCTTGCCCTCACCCTGGCACCTCCTTGTAGACCAGCTGTCACAGAGGCCTCTGGAGCAGTACACTCTCTCACATCACTTACCTTGGCCCGTTGTTCTTGTGACACGGAGCTGATGTCATTTTGTTCATGCACCTGTGTCCTTGCTCACTGTGTGACTCCCATCGTGTGCTTTATGAAGGCAGAGACTCTGTTGGTCTCCTTTCCTGCTGTGTCCCAGCTCCTGGAATTGGGCCTGGCAAGTAGGTGCAAAAAAGTGTTTGTTTCGTGAATGTTAGCTCTGTAAATGGGATGCGGGACCTAGAGAGACCAGAAGCACTATGTGGCTCATCCTCTTTATTTTAGGAGCAAACACTGGGGAAGAGGAGAAAATGACTTGCGCAGGGCAGGAGGACCAGAAACCAGACCAATGACTCCACATTCATAAGGTGTCTGAGGGAACTCTGCTTCAGGAGGCCTCTAGGTGCATTTAAGATGCAATTCAGTGTACAAAATTAGTGAGTTTGCATGATTTTTGTTTTCTCAGAACTTGTCTCCACCTTAAACCAAGGCTTGGCTGCAGGTTGATGTTCTCCAGGAAGGGAGAGGCCGGGAAGGCAAGAGAGAGCAGAGGGCTTGGTCCCTGACAATGCTGAGGGAATGCCATAGGTCTGGATGGGAAGATGGAGGCCGTTTCCTGAACCTTCTGACTTGGGCATCAGAGGGCGCAGGGGAGCCACAGGGAGGTGCCTGGGAAGGCTCAGCCCAGCTGCCCCTCACAGCCTGCTGCTCCCCTCTTCAAATGTGCTGCCTTTCTAGGTGAAGCACAGCACCTCATCCCCTACGAACCCTGTACCTTTGACCTCTTTAGCTCGCTCCATCTCTCCCTTCTGTCCGAGTTGCCGATTTCTGCCCAGCCCCTATCACCCCTATTGAAATCCTGTTCATTTAGTGAGATCCTGGCCTGCTTCACTCTTCTGTGAACTTTTCCTGCTGATATTGGCCCATAGTCATCAGGCATTCTCTCACTCAGCTTCTGCACTTGGTTTTGACGGTTATCAGTGAACATGTTTCTAGAACACTAGATGGTGGGTGTCTTCAGGGCAGAGGCCGTGCTGTGTTATTTCGTGAGCCTCACAGAACACAGTTGCTTAGCAAGTTCACTTGCTCTGGTTGGGGGAAGGGTGAGTGGATGGAGAAAAGATGAGCTGGTGGAGAGGTGGGTAGGGCAGGTGGGCAAAGAGGGTGGAAGTGGCAACGTGACATTAGGGCAGGTGGGCAAAGAGGGTGGAAGTGGCAACGTGCCTGAGAGGTGGGTGTTTGGATTGACACATGGCTGGATGGGCAGATGTATGTGAGTGCAGAGTACATGGGGGTTGGTTGTTGGCTGGCTGTGAGAGGCCCTGGTTGGTCACATAAGTGAAAGATAACTAGAGACAGAAACAAAATAGAGTATGTGGGGTCCCCTTTCTCCCCTGAACAAGTTCAAGTTATACAGGTGAGACGGGTGAAAGAGCTCCTGGGCAGTGAAAGTACACCAGGGTCTTTGCCAGGTGTAACTGGTCTTATTTGGGAGTGTTCCCCTGCCCCCACCACTAATGGCTAAGAAACTTGGTGGGGAATTAATTGAGGAAATTCCTTTGCAATTGTCCATTGAGGGATACTATCTAAGAATTCCAGGGCCAGAAAGAGAAAGGAACTTGTCAAGTTTATCTGCTTCCTTCAAGCAGAACAAGTCCTAGCTTTCCTCATCAATAGCCACCCCAGAAAGGGAAGCCCCCAATTCTACCCTGGAGTCTAGAATAGAGTCCAGCATGGTGGTTTTCATCTGTGGTGATTTTAGCCCCCACAGGACATGTGGTAATACACTTTGGGTTGCCACAACTCAGGGATGTTGCTAAACCTCCTGCATCCAGCCCCGCCAAATGGAATTATCTGGCTAAAATGTCAGTGGTGCTGAGAGAAAAACCTTGGTCTCTCAAATTCCAGCACATTTCATAGAAATTTAATGGCCCCATGTTTTCATCATTTTCCCATCCTGGAGACAGAGGATCTGACACCCACAATTTGAAAGGGGAGGTGTTTACTTGCATTCACGGTTTTAGATGTTTCAGTCCATGGTTGACAAACCCCAAGGCAGAAACAGTATGGTGGAAGGGCCGGGGTGGAGGAGAGCTGCTCATTGCATGGTGGCCAGGAAGCAGAGAGAAAGAAGAGTTGGGGAGGGAGATAAACTTCTGGGTGAAGTCCACACGACACACCTCCTAGCTGCACATTCAGCTGCTGAGCAAGGATGGATGTAGTGCCCCATGACCCAACCACTTTCCACACATATGAGAATTTGAGGGGACATTTTAGTTCTAAGCCATATCACTATACAGTATGAGCTACAATGCAAATTTAAAGTTGTTTAGTAGTTACATTAAAGAAAATAAAGGTAAAGAAATAGAAATAATTTTAATAGTATATTTCATTTACCCCAATAAATCCAAATGATTGTTTTGACATGTAATCAATATACATAATTTTTTTAGGTGGGGGTCTCACTGTATTGCCCAGACAGGCATTAAAGTCCTGGGCTCAGGGGATCTTCCTGCCTCAGCCTCTCAAGTAGCTGGGACTACAGGTGCCTGCACCATGCTCAGCCACACAACTCTGAGTGATATGTTCTACATTTTGCTTTTCATCCTGAGTCTTGGAAGTCCAGTGAGTGTTTTACAGTGTAGCACCTCTTGGTTCTGACAGTCTTTGTTGCCAGTGCTGTGTGGCCACTGGTAGCCCGGGCAGTCTGGGGAGTGCCGTGGGAAGGGTTCCCCGATGTCTAGGGGCTGTGCTGACCCTCAGCTTCTTCCCCCAGCCTGGCCCGGCAGCGGACTCTGGAGGATGAGGAGGAACAGGAACGTGAACGCCGGCGGCGGCATCGTCAGCTGAGCTCTACCACGGAGGATGAGGCTCCCAGGCTCACCCAGAATGGAGACCAGCGGGCCGCTGAGAGGTATTTGGGTTGGACACTGGCTGGACATCACGGTCGCATCCTAGGCGACAGGGACTGATTTAGCTGTCCCAGGTTGACTACGTGAAATGTGCTTGGCCTCCCAGGGACTCCAGGCCCAGGGAAAGAGGCTGAAGGGTGTGAAGGTGAGCTTCTAGCTCCTCACCTTCCCTCTGCGGCCCCACCAGGTCCTACCCTCAGCCTAACAGGTGGAGACCACTTGGGAGCCCATCCTTAGCTGGATGTTTTATGGACTTAGCTCACTTAATCCTCCCGTATCCTATTGTTTTGCAGTGGGAGAACCAGGGAGGAAGAGGGCTGAGGTGACTTGAAGGGATCATATACCTAAAAGAGTAGCAAGGCCAGAATTTCCACCCAGACTGTCAGTTTCTGTGGCACAGCTCTTCCCAGGCAGCCCGAGCACTCCGTAACTCACACCCGGGCGGAGGAACCTAGGGCCCCATCTTGCGTCACATTCTGGGATTATGGGAGAAAGGAGGAGAAGAGCCGAGAACACAGTGGGTGCCACTTGTGTGCCAGGACTGTTCTGGGTACTCTCATGGCCTGAATATTGTGTCATTCCACCTCCTGATAAGGCCAGCTTGCAGATTTTAAAACTGAGGCTCAGATAATAAGTTAATTTGCATGAAATTAGATGGAGAGCAGGGTGGTGGGAGAAAAGAACCTTTTTTTGCTGGAGACAAAGTGCTCAGGGGCCTGGGCAATTCTTTTGTGTTGTTCTTGTTCCCGTGTGACCCCCAGAGAAGGGAGACCAGGGTGTGTGCCCTGAGCTGACCCGAACCTGTGGCTGCCACCTAGTCCCAGCCCCACCCAGGTGACGTAGGTGTATGGGGTGATGCCTAAGAAGCTTTGGGTTCTACTTCCAGCTTCCCCACCAGTTAGCTGTGTGACCTTTGACAAGTCCTGAACACCTCTGGTCTCATTCTAAGCTCTAAGGGGACTGCATTTGCTCCTTTTGACCACCAGAGCCCAGCGCAGGACCTGGCACATGTTTGTTGATTGTGCCTGATCATGGAGTGGTTGGATTTTATAGGGGTCTCTAAGCTTTTTAAAGAGCATGGAGTACTTTGTTCAAATGAAGCCCAAAATGTAGAGCAGATACAAGTGATCCTTATTAAGCAATGGTGATGGGTGGGGAAGGTAAGGGTCTGATTTCCTGGACTCCTCCCTGGTGGCCCTGGTGGCATCTCTATTGGGTCAAGTTCTCTCAGAGTCCCTCTCATATCTTTTGATTTCATCTCTTGTCTTCTGACTCAGGCTGCCCAGTGTGGAGGAAACAGAGGTGCCCAAGCCACCACCCCCAGACCCCAAAGATACGGATGAAGACATCCAGACTATCCTCAGGACGCGGCAGGAGCGGAGGCAGAGGCGGAAGGCCATGGAAGCTGCCCCCATGCAGGAGAGGCTTGAGGCAGAGGATGGAAGGGACAGCTCTAGTCCTGAACAGGCCACACAGCAGCCCCCGGCACCCAAGAAGGAACCGGAGGCCCTGCCTCGCCGGAGACTGAGCCGAGAGCAGCGGGGCCCCTGGGCTGAGGAGGAGGAGCGCTTGGTAAGCAAGGAGCCAGGAGTGGGGAAGAAGGGACTTCCCGAGGAGGCTCCAGCTCTGGAGAAGACCTTGGTCACGGAGAAGTCCTCTGCGCCAGAGAAGACACCCACAAAGAGACTGGCCTCAGAGAAAGCCTGCCTCTCTGAGAAGTCGCAGGTCCCGGAGAGGACAGCTGCGTCCCAGAAGACAGCAGTGCTGGAGAAGCAAGGCAGCCCAGAGAAGTCTGCTCCAGGAAAATCGAGTGACTCTGAGAAGTCACCAGCCCCTGAGAAAGCGTCTGTGTCTGAGAAGACAGCAGCGTCAGAGGAAAGGCCTATGCTGGCCAAGAAAACAGCTCTAGGAAAAGTCGGCATTTCCGAGAAGCCGCCAGAGAAAGCGTCTTCTCGGGTGTCTGAGAAAGCATCCTTCTTTGAGAAGTCCTTGGCCACAGAGACAAAGCTGTCCCCCAAGAAGGTGGCAGCATCTGAGCAGCCCCAGGGCTCTGGGGGAGGCCAGGCCAGCACCCCAGAGCCGATAGGAAGGGTTGTCTCCAGTAAGAGCCCGACTTCCTCGGCACCGGAGCACAGGGTGCCCGGCTCTCCAGCTGTGGCTTCCCGCCTCCCGCCCATCACACTCCAGGTTGGCAGTGCTCCCGTCTCTCCTGCCCTTCTCCTCCCTGCCAGGCCTGCCCCGTGGCCTCTGCTCCTTGCTGCCTCCTGTCCTCCCACCTGCAGGCTGGCCATGGCAGCTACTGTCAGAACGGGACAGGGAGGCAGAGGCAGGCTGCTGGAGCTGAAAGGGCCAACAGCGGTGTGGCAGGGAGCAATGGGAAACCTGTAACACTCCTCATCCAGCCCAGCAGGCAGCCTCAGGTCCTTCCAGAGGATCTCCTATAGAGCTCTTCCTGGTGGTCTGGCCCCTTGGGACTATGCTGGCTGCCCCGGGGCACAGGCAGGAGAGTAAGGCCCAGGGCCATCTCACTGTCCCTTACTCCAGCAGCTCCTGGGATGAGCCCGTCCCATGGGGTCCCCATGACAGTTGGAGCTCAGGGGCCACCTGGGCCTGGCAGGGGCCTAGACCTCTACCAAGGAAGGTGAGTTCTAGACCGATTGTGACACTTCCCCTGCTCCATTCAGGTGAAAATCCCCAGCAAGGAGGAGGAGGCAGACACATCTTCACCCACCCAGGTCACCTATAGCACCTCTCTCAAACGCTCCAGCCCCAGGACCATTTCCTTTCGGGTGAGAGTCCAGGGTACCCTTGTCACCAATCCACGGGTGGGTAAACCAAGGAAAGCAACATCCCTTACAGCATGTGGGCCTTGAGTTAGAGGGCAAGAAGATCCTCTGGATAGAGAGGGGCTTTGGATTCCCACGGCAAGCCAGTTAACGACCTGTGAGTGCCAAAACGTATGAGCAGCGCCACCTAGTGGGAGAAGGCCAGAGCCGCAGGAAGATGGTACACATCCCCAACCCAGCTCTGCCCTCTCATTCTGGTCTCACCCAGGAGCCTCTCCCTAGGGCCGGGGGCGGTCGGGCTCTCCTAATGCTCTCTGTTCTGCCCCTGTCCCAGTTGTGTGGCTCGGAGAGCCTCATCTAGCCTTGTCCCAGTATGTATTCTTAGTTTGTTTGTGTACCCGGTCACGCACTCACTCGTTGATTGACTGCCTTGTGACCAATGCATGCCAGGGCCTGGGGAGGAGGCTGGAGGCCACAGGTTGATTGATGCTGTCAGGGCTCTTGAGCAGGTAGGCAGGTAGGTGTTCCAGGTCCCCTGAGCAAGGATGGAGGAGGCAGAGAAATGCTTTGGACCCAGACTGGCAGGTGGAGGCAGGGACTTCCCAGATAAGGCAAGGACCTCTAAGTGGTGGGGGTTAGGAGGAGGAAGTACCCAGAGAGCTGGGCCTGTCCCTTGAGGGAGGGGGCGCTACAGATTTCCCAGGGACTCCCACTCACCAGTGGCCCCCCTTCTCATTTCAGATGAGCCCCAGGAAAGACAACTCAGAGACCACCTTAACCCGCAGGTGGGGCGGCCTGGAGGTGGTGGCTCTCTCCTGTCCTATACTCTCCAAGCACCTGCCCCCTCTTTGTGTGTCAGGCTGTGTCACAGGGCAGCAGGGGGTGGGGTACAGTTCCTGCCGGCCTCCAGATCTGACGGGGGTGGTGGTGGTTATTAGGAGGGACTGAGGGCTGGGAGGTGGGTAGTGGGGAGGTGTCAGAGAGCGGCTTGGAGGAGGCAGTGCTTAGGTGGGGCTTTGAAGGGGAGGAGCCCTTAGTCCCCCCTTCAGGAGGGAGGGGGGAGACTCTGAGCAGTGCAGAGAGGGAGGAGCCTGCTTTGGCAGGCCTGGGTTTGGGGTCTGGGGCTGTGCGGGTGTAACAAGTATCCCATGGCCTGTAACGTTGACACAAGTAGGCTAGGATTGTGTTGAAAAGAAAACCGCAGTAGGACCTGAAAAGCAGCTGTGCTTGCGTTAGGAATTTCACTCGAGCTGCGTCCAGCCGCCCTCTCGATGCAGACTGAGGCCTCCTGTACTAGGTGAGGCCTGGGGTTTGGGGAGGGAAGAGGAGGGGAACAAAGACAAGACACAGTGAGGCCCTCTGGCAACCCATGAAAGGCCACTAAACACACAAGAGGCAGCCACGCTGGGAGGCACAGGATGGATGGGCACTCAGGGGCTGCAGCGAGCGGGTAGGTATCACCGTGCCAGTGCGATTTCCAGCTGGAAAACTGGAGGAGTGGCATTTAACTATTTTATTTTTGGCTGCATTGGGGATTGAACACAAGGCCTTTGCATTGAGATAATCCCCAACCCTTTTAAAAAATATTTTATTTTGAGACAGGGTCTCCTTAAATTACTAAGTTGCTTGTGCTGGGCTTGAGCTTTCTATCTTCCTGCTTCAGCCTTCTGAGTGCTGGGATTACAGGTGTGCACCACAATGCCTGTGCCCGCATTGCGAGGGAGGTGGGAGCAGATCCCCAGAGTTTGGTGTGCTGCGTGCACCAGGGAGTTCACTCCCTGTCCTTTAGCTCCTGGGGTCTGGGCTGGAGGGACAGGAATAGATCTGTGTGAGGTAGGAATGGCCTGCTGGTGCTGAGGAGGATGGCAGGTAGGGAAGGTAGAGGTAATCACGGCTGAGGGGAAGTGTAGGGGAAGGGCAGCTTCAGGAGATGGAGTGACGGGAAGTGGGAAACGAAGGGAGGAGAGTGGAGAGAGCTGTGGAGGATGTTCCCGATCCTGGGGTGTCCTGCTGAATGGACTGTTTCTCCAGAAGTGAGGACAGTCCCTCACTTCTGTAGTCTCAGCCTTGGCCAAGTCACTCCTTAGGTTTGCTCTGCCACAGAGGGCCATGTGTGCTTGGCTGAAGTGGCGGGATGTGAGAAGGATCACTTCTCAGACCCAGGGACAGGCATGGCCACCTTGAGGTGGGTGTCTCATCTGGGTTGTCTCATCCAGTGCCAGCGTGAGGTTGCCGGCCAGCACGGTCAAGTTGGGAGAGAAGCTGGAGAGATACCACACGGCTATACAGGTGGGATGTGGGGACTCACCTGGAGGGTGTGGGGTCCCTGACCAGAGTGGTGGGCACAGCCCATGTACCTCGTGGTCACAGCTCAGTGGCTTGTGTCTCTGTCCCCAGAGATCAGAATCTGTCAGGTCTCAAGGCTCTTCCCGCACCGAGTTCTTTGTGGCTCCAGCGGGTGTAGCCAGCAAGCGCCACCTCTTTGAGAAGGAACTGGCTGGCCAGAGCCGAGCAGAACCAGCCTCCAGCCGGAAGGTGAGAAGTGAATCCCAGCCGGGTGTCTCTAGGCTGATGAGCCTGGAGGTCTCTGAGGATGTGACAGGGCTGAAAATGGCTTTCATGTGTCAGTGTCAGCAGGAGCTCAGTTTGCCATTCAGGTTCCTGAGCCTGGGTCTCCTTGGCTGAGGCCGTAGCTCCCATGGCAGGAGTATCCCAGGAACTCACCCTGTACTGGGGGGACGTGGGCATGGGGTGGAATCTTGTCCCTGTTCCAGGGCCTTTGCAAAGGCTTTGCTGTTGCTGGTGGCCTCAAACCCTGAGAGGGAGCCTGTCTTCTTAGGACAACCTGAAGCTGTCTGGGGTTGTGACATCAAGGCTCAATCTGTGGATTAGCAGGACCCAGGAGTCAGGAGACCAGGACTCCCAGGTACCCTGTCTCTCCCTGGTGGCTCTTGTGGGGCCCTTTTGGAATGGAATGATCTGGGTCAGAGAAGGGACAGCCCCAAAGCAATGGGTCATTTCAGGAGCAGAGATGGTGTGGTGGGAGGGTGGCTGTGGGGGCCTGCATGTCAGACAGCAGCAGAGAGGAGGCATAGGTCTGGGGTCCTTCTCCACTCCACACTGAGCAGGGGTAGGCTGGGGATCCCATGCCTGTGCCAGCCCTGCCTTAGTCTCTGGTCTCCACCCTAATGTTCCCAACCAGGAGGTCCAGAAAGAGTTGGCAGCTGCCAAGAGGACCCAGTGGGCCAAGAAGTCAGACTCCTCCCTGGATGCTGAGGTGAATGGAGTAGGAGGGCCTGGCCCGGGGGCAGAGGGCTGTGGGTGCGCAGTGTACACGAACCCCCTCCACCTGTGTGCACAGATTCACTGGCCGGCAGACACCCTGTGCAAGTCTCCAGAGAGCCACTGTCCTTGCATGCCTGGGTGGGTTGGACCCTCATGAGCACACTGGGGGAGTCTTGGCTCTGCTGAACAGCTCACAAAGTCCCACCCGCTTCAACCAGCAGACTTTGGGTCTCTGACTGCAAGTCGGGATAGAGCTTGGCACAGTGATGTTTTCCTGTCCAGAGACCCCCTTCCCTCATCCTCATTTACCTTGGCCCCATAGGTGTGACACTCCTGCCTACCTGCCGAGACAGTCCTACCAATCTGCCTCTCAAGGGCCTCCTTCAAGCCGGGCCCCGCCTCCCGAAGCAGCACCACTGTCTCTCACTGCCCCACCCCCCTTTCTGCTTCTGGACCTGTCTGGTCAGGGCCCTTGGGGACCAGGAATGTCAGTGACATGCAGCCAGCCCCTTCCCAGTGCAGCCTCCAGGGCAGCTGTACGTGGCATGTCCTTGGCCTGCTGCAAACACTGTAGGTCCAGGACCCAGCAGCAGCCCATCAGCTGTGTGGAGCCTCAGCGTCCTCCTCAGAGGCCTCCCCGCTGCTCACTTCCAGTGTGGCCGCCTCTGACCATCTCCAGTGTCACCCGTCTCGTCTGCTCCCCACCGATGCCTCCACGTGCCTGTGAATTCTCCCTCACTGAGGCCTGGACCTACACACTTTAGTGCCTGTGGGCTGCTCGTGCCTGTGAGGCCCTCAGGCCAGGCGGGGAAGGGGTCTCCCTGCACCCTCCGTCCATGTGCCCCAACCTCCCGCTTTGTTCTTGGCAACCCCCCACTTCCCTGGCCTGCTGCCCTGGCCGGGAGCTCCGAGCCTGTATATGCAACAACTTACCCGGCCCTCTCAGAAAAACCTGTTCTCAGGAAGGATCTGATAAACTCATTCACTCTCAGGTGTAAGCAATGGGTGATACTTTAAAAATGAATTCCTTCCTAAGGAAGGCTGTGCTTGCCAACAAGAATCATCTGCAGGGGATGAGGAGAATTACTTTGGCCAAGGTGGGAGGGAGGATCATTTTCCTAATCGCCCCTGTTCTCCCGGTATGGTGGTGGACTTGCCACTTGGGGGTCAGAGCTGGTGACTTGGGAGTCTAGAATTGCCACATACACACCCAAACCTCCTCCAAACCCAGTCTGCCTCCTGCTAATACTGTGCCCTGAGTGGGCCTGGAGAATGTCGAGTCCTCAGGGAACTCGGGACGAACCAAACCAAGAGCCTAGAAAGGCAGGGTGGTTCCCTACAATCTCCTTAAGGCTGCAGTGTGAAAATCGCTTTTTTCTTTAGTCACTCGAACTCATAATCCCAATTGACTGCTCTGCTCTACCCCAGATAGGCTGACAGTAGGTGCAGAGCCCTGCCCACTCCCCATCTGCACACCTGGGAACCCCAAGCTTCTCAGAGCATGGCCTCTATGGCGTACCAGGCCCCAGCTCCCTCGCCTTAGTCTTTGTGATCCTAGGTGAGGCTCCTACCTTGGATCTGTGGTCCAGGCAGAGAAGGTGCTGAGCCCCATGTGTGCAGGATTCCCAGTATCCCAGGTTGGCCTCCTCCATCAGTGAGTCTCCTGTGGCTGGGCCCTGCCTGTCCTGAGCTTGGGTGCCACTTCCTGGAGCCTGCCCTGAGCACCCCAGACCCTGCATCTGGGCTACAGTTTCTCCAAATGCCCAGCTTGGCAGGTGAGGGTTGACTGGAGCTGGGCAGGGGAGAGGAGCGGGCTGCGTTCTGCCTGGAGATGCAGGAGACCACAGCTACTCTGGCCCCGCCCAGAATTCCAGGTGTGACCCTGGAACACTTCCCTTCTGAGCCTCAGGATTCAAGCAGATGACCTCCAAGGACTTTAGATGCTCAGGACCTATGCTTTGGAAGGTCCCTAGGAGGAGAAGCCCATCTCAGGCAGTGGAGGGGCTGTGCCGCAGCTGCAGCCCTCCAGAAGCAGTGCCCTCTGTGCCTGCACGCCTTCCTGGGTTGCCCATGCAGGGCAGGCTTTTGGGGAGAAGACTGGGGCCACAGGTCCATGGCAGCCTCTCCTTTGCATCCACCCACCCAACATGGGAGGGCCCTGCCTCATCCCATTGGGGAGGCAGCAGATAAACGAGGAAACAAATGCACTGGGGCTAAAGGGCAGTGTGACCATGCAGGTGGGCAAGGGAGCCTTCTTGGAGGAGGTGATGCTTGAATGCCCACTGGAGGTAGAATGGGTCTCCAAACTGCCCACCATCCTCCCTGCCCCCCTGCTACCATGGCCCCGGGACCCCTCAAATCTTGTCCTCCGTGGGTCCTCAGGTTTGTGTCCCACTATGCTGCTTCTCTTCCTACTGCTGTGGCTTTTTTTTTTGTTTTTCCTTCCACTTCCCGTTAGCATCGGCAGGTAACTATTCACAAAGATGCAGGCATCCAAATCAGCTGGGGAGCACCCTGGTGGGCTAAGGTGTGGCTGCTAGTGAGGGACTAGGTTTTATCCTTAGTTAAGTGGGTGCTCCCAGCTCTCTGGACGAAACCCCTGACTCAGAGCCATCAGTGAAAGCCATGGTCTATGGATGCCAAGAATCTACTGGGCTTTTCTTGGGGGTCTTCTGTGGGGATTTAGATCCCTCGCCAGGCATCAGTGCAAACAAGTTATGCGCTGTTGGAAGGATTGCTGGGCTTACAAGGAACAGTGACCCACAGAGAGTGGCTCAAGATAAAGGAGGGTTTAGGAAAAGCCACTTTTACATTGCAGGAGATGCCAGCACATGGGGCAAGGCTGGGCCCTGGTGGGAGACAGGGGGAGGAGGCTGCCCAGCTCTGTCTTTCTCTGGACAGCCTGCTTCCTTCTTTACCAACCGTCTAAATCTGCTCCCTCCACCTGCATCTGTGAGCCCCTCTGCTTCCCTGTGGCCCCCTCTTTCTTAGGATGCTGGCTAGCAGGCCCATGGTTCCAGCTTGCTCTGCTGCAGATCTGCTGGTAGCATGAGGGACACAAGCCCAGGATAAGCCTGGAATTGAGGCTGTTGGGCTCAGTGGCTGCTGGGACTTCCAAGGGGACAGTATCAGCTGAGAGATGAGGCAGGAACCTGCTAGCAGTGTGGGTGCAGAGCAAATGGCCCCATGTGCCGAGGGTTCTTTGAGGGATGATAGTAGTGGATGCGGCCGTGTCCCTCCCACTATTAGGACTATGGACAGCAAGCACCAGGAAGTGCTCCTGGGGTAGGTGAGGGGAGGAGGGAGAATGAGGCCAGCTTTGTTTGTCCAGGGAAAAGCGGAGAAGAGTTTGGGTCACTAATGAGTAAGATCCGGAAGTGTCAGGGGCCCAGGGCTTGGGGACATGTGGGGAGAGATGTGCCCGGTCCAGAGCAGGGACTTCCTTCAGGGTCAGGCAAGACCAGGCCATGGAGATGCAGAAGGATTGAGGGGAGAGTCAGCTCGGCTGTCCCCAGACTCAGTTCTTATTGCTCCTGTTCATTCCCATCATGCACTGTGCTTGAGGAACACACATATGCAAGCTGAGGGCAGAAGCCCTAGGCCCTGAGCGTATGGATTTTACAGTGAAATGGAGTTAGCAGGTCATACTCACTAATCATGATTTTGAAACCTTAGGAAATGAACTTCAATCTCTTGCCTCCCTCACACAGCCCAGCAGCCCCTCCATGGAGAGGGCCCTCCTAACTCGCAGCTGACCTCCTCTAGCAGTTCCAATCCATGTCTCATAAGCAGGGCTTGGCACGTGGCCTGAGGTTCCTGGAGAAGGCCCACTTTATGGATGCTGCCACTGAGGTCCATAGCATCTGCAAACTGCCTGAGGCTGCTTGGCCCATTAGAAGTGGCTGGCAGCCCAGAGGACATCTTTGCCCGCAGCATCTTTCGCGATGGAGTTGCAGATCAGTGCCTGCCTCTGTCCTCAGGGCCCTGAGGCAGAGACTCATGAAATGTCTTGGAAGTCGCCTTTGCCGCCATCCCTGCTCCCAGCCTGCTGTCCCAGGCCTGGGTTGCTGGCATCTGTTTTATCAGGATTCTCAAGAGGGACAGCTGGTTTGTGTTCCAAGCCTGTTCCCTGCGTATCTGGTCTGGTTTTAAATAGCTTATCTGAGCAGCTGGAGGACCACATGGGCTTATATGGCGTGGGGTACATGTTCCTTTAGCCCTGTCCCCGGCACCTGCCAAAATAGCAGCCAACACCCCTCCATTGTGTCCCCCCCTCCCCGTCTCCTGCTGCACATTCCTCCCACCCCAGGGCTTGGCTCCCAAGGCCCCAGCCCACATGCCTGCTTAAAGCCCTCTCCATCCCTGCTCTTGCCCAGTCCCCGCCAAGGCAAGCAGACACCTCTGGGACCTGCCGGCAGCCCCTGTTCAGAGGTAAGACTGGGCAAGGCTCTAGGGAAGGGAAGGGCCGGAGGGGTCATGAAAGTCTTGGCCCTGGTGCCCCCTCCCAGCACTGCCTACGCCCACCTGGAGTGGATGCTGGGTGGAGAGCAGTCCACAGCCCTCGGAGAGGAGGCAACTTCAGAGAAGGAGATGCGGGCCTGGACTCTAAGACTAGGGCAGTCTGGTGCAGAGGACCCTGTATCAGCACTTGGGGACTGAAGTCTGTATCCCAGGTCTGCCACTAAAGATGCTGTGCAGTTGTAAAGTGTTAGGACCTCAATTTCCTCATCTATTGAGCAGCTTTGGCCATTCCTGGGCCTCTGTCTGTCATAAATACACTGATTCTGTAGCCAGTAGGATCCCCCCAAGTTGCTTGGTCCACCCCCTTGGCTCTGGGCCCAAAGCCACCTAAACCTTTCCAGGCAGGTTCTCCTTAAGGCCCTCAGAGCAGAGTGAGTTCATGGACCCATGGTCATACTCGTCTCTGAGAATTCAGACACTGTCCTAGAAACACTGAGAAGCCCACTGTCCAGAGGCAGGTCTGTCCACGCAGTTGTGTGAATTCCACCCGACTTCCTGATCCCTTGTCCTTCCTCTCCCCAGAGGAGAGCAAGGGCTGAGCGGTGCCGGAGGGCTGATAGGACCCCGCTGAGAGGTCCTTTGGGGTGGTGAGCCAAGCTTGTTGGCACTGAAAGGTTAACTCTGGGTCCAGCTGCCTACTACCACCACGTCCCTTCACGTGTGAGCCTTGCCCCGCCCCACCCCAAAGCACCCACAAGGACAGATTTTGCTCTTTGCCTGGGAATGACAAACAGAGAAAGATTTCCTTGCTATTTTAGCTTCTCCCGGCATGCTGAAGGAATATTCATCAAGTGGTTGCCTGGTGTGTAAAGAATTTCCAGTGCATTCCACAGGGAGTCCAGCTGGGAAGCCACCTGACCTTCCAAATTCCTCCTCTGACCCTGTCTCATGGGGCAAGTCCTCCTCCCCCGCAAGAGAGGAATCTGAGAAGATCAAGTTGCCTCTGCCCTCCCTCCTGCCTGGCACCCACTCTCTCACTCTGCCCCTCGTCCCTCCTAGCAGGCTGACAACTGCAGGTTTAGGAAGGTCCTAGCTGAGCGCTGGAGATGGGCGCTGAGGGCCAGGTCTCCATTCCTCAGAAACATGCAGATGGTCTCTGCGAGGCTAGAACCGGAAGTTCATCTAACCTATAGCTAGGTCAACTGAAGGTCCAGAGGGTTTATGGAACTTAACTGAAGTCACTCAATGAAAATTGGGTTTGAAACCCTGTTTATTTGACCCCTAAGGCCAGTGTTCTTTTTGCTTTCTGTTGTTTTTGCTTTACTCCCCAGGAAGGGTGACCCTGACCTCCTGCTGAGAGGCTGGAAAGCAACGGGGGAGGGGGCGGAGGCGGGGCTGGTGGGGGGGCTGGGTCGGGACACTCAGAACCTTGCCCTGCCAGGTTCTTGACCTTCTCCTGCTCTGCAGCCCCAGGCTCAGCCTACAGCCCCTTTCTCCTTCATCAAGTCCTGCTTTGACCGAGGCCAGGCTGTCTCTAGTCCTCCCTGCCCAGCCCCACCCCCACATCTATTTTAGGAGCTGGATGGTGCTCCCAGGAGCAGGAGGAGTCCAGGCTGCTCTTTCCTACTCTGAGCCCCAGCAATGCGCCCAGGGCTCTGAGCTGTGGGAGGCCAGAGGCCAGAAGTGACGTGCTGCAGGTCAACCACACACAGCCCCCTAAGAAACTCTCCCACCTCCCCACGGCAACAGGCTCCCCCTGGGGCTCAGGCAGTAGCCCCCTTAGTTCTTAGGTCACAGGCTCTGGCTAGTCCCTTGGGGTTCAGAGCCTCTTCTCTTTGGCCACCATCATCCTGAGACACATTTGGAGATCCTCTGAAGCTTGAGTCTTTTGTCAGCAGAATGAGGTTCTATTTCTTATTATGACACTTTACACAGCTGACATCTTCCCCCAGCACAGGGCGGTGGGGAACGGGTGGCTCAGAGCTGCTGTCTGGCGGGACCTGATGAGGGCTCCTCCTTCGCGGTCTCCATCCTGCTCCAGCAGAGGGAGCAGGGGAGAGGCTTGCGCAGCGGCAGCTTCGCTTGTCCCCAGGGGATGCTGAGTTTGGGAAGTCTTTACCCAGAAGGACAGTTGGGGAGTACGGTGGCTCCCTCGGAACCTCTCAGCCTCATACGAGCGGCCTTGCCGTGGACATCACTTCAATCCAGGAGAGCACGGACTCTGTCCATAGATGGGTGTCCGGGGTAGTCGCAGCCCCTGCGTTTGGATGTGCAGGGAGACGGGGGCGGGGGACGACGACTACCCACGTGCTTCGACCTCCTTTGACCTGGCAGCGGGAGTCACCCTGAAGCCGGGGCCTTTGCACAGCGCTGGCAGGCCCCACGTGGGGTAGGAGAGAGGGGCATAGGAGGTCATTCCATCCCTCATTCTGATTCTACCCACTTCCCCCAGCTTCCCTTCACATCACACCTTCCCTTCTCTCCCTTGCAATCGATTGCAAACAGTAGGGGGCGCTGTGCACATTTCACATTGTGAAATTCACACTGTGCACATTCCTCTATGCCTGGGGGCCGGACATCCTTTGAGGAAGGTGGGCTTCGCTTTCCACCCACGCTGACACTTTTCTCTTTTCACATTGATGGTGGCTCAGGAAGTGTGCTGTCAGGGTTTAGGGGGTCAGGGTGGCATCATTATTAGCTGAGCTCCTACTCTGGGTCAGAGTAGCTTTAGTCCTTGTATCTGCCCCAGGAGAGGAGCAATTCATAGCAGAGGGAGCAGAGGTTCGGGGAAGGGAAACGACTGTCCCAAGGTCACACACAAAGGCATCTGGGAGCCAGGGTTCAAAGCCAGAGTAACTTCACACTGCAAGTCTTGTGCCTATAATTATACCCTAAGGCTTTCCACTTTCACTAAGGTCGATTTGATCCTCATAAAGACCTCTGAGAGCCAGGACGCGTACACTTTATCTCTGTAATACAGAGTGACAACTGAGTTCAGAGATGCTGAAAAGCTGTAGCCAAACACTCTCAGCAAGCGAATGGAAGAGGATTTGGATCCAAATTGTCTGCTCCTATCACAGTGAGGGGGTGTCTCCAAACGAGTTCTCTAAGGAAACTTTTTTCTTTTTCTGGTACTGGAGATTGAACCCAGGGCCTTTGCACTGAGCTACATCCCCAACTCTTCTTATGTATTTAGTTATGTACTTGTATATTTCTGTATGTATGTATTTATTCAGACAAGGTTTTACTAAGTTGCTAAGTAATATATAGTTTTGTCACTTCAAGAATGCTATAGAAATAGACTCACCCATATATGATCTTTAGAATTAGCCTTCCTCAATTGGCAGAATTCCCTGGAGATTCAGTCAGGTTGCTTTGGATACCAGCATATCCATGACACATACATTTTTCATTACTCAGTAGTATTCCACACAAGCCACACTTGATGTGATCACCCTTGCAGAGATGCTTGTACAGGGATGAAGCCATTGATGAAGATAGTGGTGGGGCCTGTCAGTGCATTGTTCCCTGAATGCTTCTGGGGATAGGAAAAGTGGGAAAACTGCCAACACTGCTTACAGAGTTACCAACAGAGATCTGGAAATTCTGGACAGCATGTCTGCTTGGGGGCGGGGAATGGAATGGGTATTAGCTGGCCACTTTGCTGTGACGTGGGACCATGATGTCTCTTTGCAGAGGAGGAAACAGGTCACATTGGTCATATAAGAAAGGGATGGTGTGAGATTCCATCTATGGAATTCCTTGATTCCTCTATGCCTGGGGGCCGGACATCCTTTGAGGAAGGTGGGCTTCGCTTTCCACCCACGCTGACACTTTTCTCTTTCTGGAGGGAGAACAGAGACCATGTCTGATACCGAAGAGGTGGTGGAGGAGTACGAGGAGTGAGTATCTGGAGCAGCCTATCTCCAGTGCTATCCCTGCCGCGCTGACCCATTCTGTCGCCAGGGGCTGCCTAGCTGCCTCAGGATCTGGCAGAAGTAACTGGCTCTATTTCCAGCACCCTGGGAAAGGTTTACCCCGTCCCAGGCATGGCACTGCTGCACCTTGAGCAGCAGGTGCCAGGCCAACCTCCGGCCCAGGGGCTTTGGAAACACATGGGCCCGGCTCCCATCAGCAGGCCCTGATCGGCTAGAGGTCTGACCTCTAGCAGAGCAGCCAAGACGCAGAGACTCCTGGGCCTGACCAGAAAGGTTCAGTGACTCCTGTGGCCGCAGAGCTGGTCGCTCCCAGCACGCCTATCCCAAACCCCAGTGCCATCACCGCCCTGGGGCCCTAGCCACCCCCAACTGCTGCCCACAGTCTGTGCTGAGGAGAAGCCAAGGGTGGGACACAGGCGATCTGGCAATGGTCTTGGGTGGCAGCATCCCAGGAGGATGCAGAGCTATAGGCGCAGCTCTGTCCTCACGAATTTGCTCAGCTGCTGGGGTGCTGAAGGAGTGAAGGAAAGAATCAGCAAGCAGGGATGACACGTGGAGGTCTCTGGACAGAGAGAGACTGGGGAGGGCAAGGGCTTTCTAGAAAGGGGAGCTCCCTGTGGGAAGCTTGGAGGGGAGATGGGAGGCGCAGTGGGCAGAAGCTGGGCAAGCGAGCTGGCTCATGTGGAGGTTCCCTGGGGACAGCCGCAGGGGTGTTGGAGGAGAAGGGTGGGCCAGGGTGGGCAGAGTGTGAACTCCATTAGGCAAAGGGAGAAGTGCAAAGTGGGGCTATCCTGGGGCAGTGCCGGGGAGGGCGCGCACTCAGGTGTGCAGGCACCAATGGTTTTCGTTCCTTGTGCTCAGGGGCCAGGAAGGTAAGCGCACACAGGGGTGCTCACTGGATCAAGATAGCGTGGTTGGAAACTGACTCACTCTTCTCTCTCCTCTTGCTGCCTGGCCTTCTCTTCTGAGCAGAAGCCGTGGAAGGTATGTACCGTGGGCAGGTGGAGGCCCACAGAAGAGGTGACTCGGGAGCTCTGACCCTGAGAGCCCAGGAAGACAGCTTGTGTGTGTCTCTGCCCCAACTCTCAGCCGAGCAAAGATCTCCCCACAGCTGAGGAGTCCTTCTGTGGGAGTCCCTCCTACCTTGCTTGCTCAGGTCTAGGGACAAAAGGTTTAATTAAATCTGTCTCCTCTGTAGGCCATTTCTTCACCACTTTTTGCACCCCGCCTCTTTTTGGCAGTACTGGAGATTGAACCGAGAGCCTGCGCCCTGAGTTACATCCCAGCACATTTTTTATTTTTTTTACTTTGAGACAGGGTCTCATTAAGTTGCTCAGGCTGGGCTTAAACTTGTGATTCTTCTGCATCAGCCTCCCAAAATACTATGATTATAGGCTTCCTATTTTATTTTTCAAATTTGGAAAATTTGAGATAAATATAAGGATAGCAAAGAAGAAAGAAAGAAAAAGAGAAAGAAGGAAAGAAAGTGATATAACTCCTCCCCCCTAATCACCTGGCTTTAACAATTACCAAGCCACGGCCAACTTTTTCCCTCTGTACTCCATATCCTACTAGTTGTTTGGAGCAGATATGCCAAATAATTCCCAGACATAACAGCATCTCATACCTTAGTATGTATCTCTAACAGATGAGCACTATTAACAAAAAGCCATAACCACAGTACCATGATCACACCTGAACATTCTGTTTAACAAGTTTCCAAACAAGATTCTGAGTGTGAAGTGTTGAGTGCTCTGAGACGTTCCCTGCCAGCTGCAGAGTTCTCGTTCCTCCCTGGCGAAGGGCCCTCTGCTGCCCCTGCTTTTACTGTGGTGATGCAGCGCCCTCCTCAGCCAGGGCCTCTGTCTGGCCTTTTCTTATTCTGAGAGCTGATACCCAAGGTGGATAGGAGACTTGGCTCTGGTCCCACCCAGCACCTAGAGGCCCTGAATGCTCAGGTGCTTGAGCTTCTGCGCCACAGGCGGGCTGGAGCCTGTCCCTTGGCCATTCCAAAAATGCTCAAAGACACCACTTGAGTGCGGACGCTAGGAAGATCTCAGCTCGATGGCTGCCCGTCCCTTGTTCACTGGGTCTTCAAGGGAAAGTGAGGCAGCTCCTGCACATGCATCCCAGGGCTGTCTCAACAGAGAAGAGATGGAAGAGAAATTTCCAGACAAAACTGAAAGGGCTTACAGGAGTCATTTTGGTTTTCAAGGAACATCAAGCCCTTGGGAGCAATCCGAAATACACTTTGAGTCAAAAATCTAAGTTGTTCCAACTTCTACTGTGTCCCCTGCACACACTCGTGCCATGTTGGGTCTCCTGTCGGTTTGGAGGATTTTCCTCTTTATTAGGGCAGGTTTGGGGTGGCGATGTTTGGGAAATAGGCTTTGGGTTTGGGACCAACCTGCCCTGTACACACAGTATGACATGGTTGTGAGTCAACAAAATAACAGCACAGTGAGAAGGTCTTGCGCCATGCGGCACCCACCCTGCTTGCTGGGAAATGCCTACAGCACCTTCCACACCCCACCCAGGACCTGGCTGTCAATGGCAGAGAGAGGAACGTCTAGGTGAACAGCCACAGAACCCTCAGGCTGGTCAGTCCCGAGAGTGCCAGGAGACAGACTGTTCCAGTCGCTGCAGGCTCTTTTAAGCTGGGCAGAGGTTTGCATCCCGAGCAAGGGTGGTAGCTGCAGTCTGTGTCCTTTGGGTTATACTGCTCGCACTGCCTTAAGTGGTATGATTTCCTTCCCGGGTGCCTGGTGCCCAAAGAGGGCTTCCCAAGTGTGACAGTTGGAAAATAGATTTTTTTAGTGGTACTGGGAATTGAGCTTTTCTCTGAGCTACATTCCTAGCACTCTTTTATTTGGAGACAGGGTTAAGTCCCTGAAGTTGCTCAGGCTGAGCTTGAACTTGTAATTCTCCTTCCTCAGCCTCCCAGAGTGCTGAAATTACAAGTGTGCACCACCACACTCAATGAGATATGTTTGTGAGATACCCTAGGGCGGGAAGGAGGGAGAGGTTGGATAGGAGCAAATTGTTCCTCCTCTCTACTGGTTAGGGCACTTGTCTTAGGAAGGGAAAACTGAGGCTCTGTGGTCTAGAGGCAGGCGGGGAGCGACTAGTTAGTGCTTACCAAATGCATTGCCTGTACCAGGCACTGCCGGCCACCCTAGTCATGCTGGACCCTTCCATCCCCACACTGGCGGGGAAGTGAGCATCAGGCTTTCCATGTTGCTGGCAGGAACGTGGCTCAGGGATATTACTGAGACCAGAGGTACCCAAGTTGCTGAAGAGAGTGGCTCAGGAACTGGATCCCAGGCCCAATCCGAGCCCCGCTCTGGAAAGCTCTGTGCTGGCCTGTGCCGCTGCCTGGGCTTTTCGCTTGTGCTAACCTGTCTGCTTCTCCCCTCTACTGCTGCTGCTCCCTGACCCGGAAGAGGAAGACTGGAGAGAGGACGAAGACGGTAGTAGAGCTTTTCCTGTCCTGCTTTTCCCTCCCTGTGGTCTGCAAGCTGCCTGCTTGTTTGCCGGGTGGGGGTGTCAAGTGGGTCCGTCACTGCCTCCTCAGTTTCGGGGGGCCAGGACCACAGTCCTGAGGCCTTTGTCGTGAGTCTCCTTTGAGGCCACTGGCTCTTTCTCCTGGTTCCCGCTCTTTCCTACCTGGCTTGTCTTCCCACCTTCTCCAATGTGGGAGGCTCCTGGGAGCAATGAGGAGCCCACATGCCCACCCTGCACGTTGCAGTGTTGTGCGCTAGGCTCCTCCCAGCGAGCTGGCCAGCCCCAGGAAGAGTGGCCAGTGGCGGAGGGGGCTGGAGACAAAGTCATCTGAAGAGCAACTGGGGGCCTAGAAATAGCTGGAGCAGAGAGGACATGATGTCAGCCTTCAGATGTGCACTGTGGAGGGGTGGGGTGGGGTGGACCTGCTCCCGGTGCCCAGGGAGAGCACCAAGGCAAGGGAGAGAGATTGGGGCTTAATTTTAGAAACAGACTTTCCCACAGCGAGGCCACGAGACACAGTGGGTGGTGTGAGTAGGCAGCAAGCCCCCTCCCTGGGCCTGCTGTGTGACCAGGGGGAGAGTGGCTCTTGGGCACAGAGAAAGGAAACAGTAATGGGGTAGGAGTGGCGCTCACACGGTGGCCCAAAGGTGGACCCCACAGCAGGCCCTGTCCTTTCTGGCTGGGCCTTTTTTATCACACCTTCTGGAAGGGGCTTTCTGAGGGAAGTGTCTTTCAGGGAAGAGCCACCTCTCAGTCTCAGACCTAGGAAACAGGGACTGTGAGGGGGAGGCAGAGGAACAGATGGCTCTCACTTCTGTCCTGAGTTTTTTCTTCTCCCTCTGCCAAGACCCACCACTTGTCAGCTTCTCAGTAGACAAGTGTTACCAAGCACTTCCGGGCACCATCCTGTCTGCTAAGATGTCTGAATCCTCTAAGTACCGGAAGAGGCAGGTCCACCTCCTGCCAGGCAATGGACAAAAATAGAAAAATCCTGACACCCTTCTGGATAGCGCAGATACTAAGTGTCAGGCACCTCACCCACTTACATGGTCTTGCATTTTGGCTTCTTTGAGATATGGAGGCAGGGTCTCTAGACTCAGCCAGTCACTGGGTCCAGGGCCAGAGCTTACTGACACCCTCCTTAAGCAGGAAAGCCTGCTCTGTGGCATCAGGCGCTGGATAGAACTTTTGGGGCAGGAGGTTGGAGAATAGAGTCACTGAACCAGCGAGGAATCACTGGGGATGGAAGATCTAAGTGGAGCAGAAGGAGCAACAGACAGAAACCCTGCCTTCCCAGGCTTGCTGGGCTCACCTCTTCTCAGGTGCTGCTCACAGGACCCATCATAGCCTGACATGATCCCACTGTGACTTGTGGTCTCCACACTAGGCAAACTGGGGAAGAAAAGACTCTTCACTAACCCTATTATGTCCTTCTATTGTTTTTACTTGGGGGTGGCATTTTCTTTTTTCTACAAAAGAATAGAGAATAGACATCCAGGGCTTTATGGGCCGCCCAATCCATGTTGCAACTACTCAGCTCTGCTGCTATAGCACAAAAGCAGCCAAAGCACACCAAGGAGTGGATGTGGCTGTATGCCAATAAAACTTTATTTGTACAAATAGTCTGGGGCCAGATTTGGCTCTCAGGCCATAGTTTGCTGACTTCTGGTTTAAATCAAGAACCAAGCAGCTTCCTGTCATCCCTCAATTCATTCATTGAATGAATGAATGGGCGTCATTCATGAATGGACGCCCTGGACGTCATTGACTTCCACCCCACCCCTCCTTGTGTGTCTTCTGTCCTTTCTGATAGCAAAAGCAGGGGCCTAGTTTTTCACCACGTTTGGTTCACTTCTCCAGAGCAGGAGGAGGCAGCGGAAGAGGAGGCTGACGGTGGGGCTGGGGCTGAGGATGAGACGGAGGAGGCTCAGGCGGAAGGTGCGACCCAAGGGTCAGAGTGCGAGGGCCTTGGGGGCAGCCACTCGCAGCATGCTTTCTAACGCTTGTGCCTGCTCCTCCTGTCTGGTCGGGAGACCGCTGTCCACTGCCTGATCAATGAACACTGAGATGCAATGAGTGGTTCTTTTGTGTCACACAGTCTTAGGCCTAGGGACACACATATGACAGCTGCCTGACTCTAAACTAAGAGGCTGCCTTTGACTAGCACCTACCCGTGGAGCAAGCTCCTGAGGGGAGTCTGGGTATAGAACAGGGAATTTATGAATTCCTTATGTTTTGTTTAGAGGACGGAGAAGAAGAGGAAGCCAAAGAGGCTGAAGGTAAGAACCGCTGGACATTGGAGAGAGGTCTCAGGGTGGCGAGCAGACCCCTCCCAGCAGCTTCAGGAGAGACAGGCCCGCAGGGTTCCTTCCAGGGAGGTAGGTGGGCAGGAGGGGACGGAACTCGGTGGCACTAGCAGGGTTTCAGATGTTGCATTTCAAACCTTCGCATCCGTCCCCCTCAGCACCGAGGAGCGGCCTTGCTGGCGCAGGAGTAGGAGAGGGGCCCACGGCCCAGTACCTGTCTGAGCAGGGCAGTGGGACTGAGAAGTCAGACTCCCAAGTCACAGGTGGTCCATGTGGTGGGTCACTGCTCTGGTCATTGTCATACTGCAGCCGTTACCAGGCTGCCTGGTGGTCAGGCCTGCACAGGGGAGGGTATGGGCGGCTGGGGCTTGGGAACCATGTCCATCAGCTTCCTGACCCTGTGACCACAAGGAAGGCCAGAGCACACCGAGAAGGAAGACTTGGCAGGGGAATCCGGGGTCAGGACCCCTGAGGACTTGGAGTCCTTCCCATAGGACCCTTAGTTGAGAAGCAGATCTGCTGTGTCTAGAGCTGGAAACTGAGGGAGGGCTTTGCAGGCCCCGGTAGAGTGTGTGCCCCCCCAGAGGGGATGCTTTAACCCTGCTGGAACTCAGGATCTCCAGGGCTGAAAGGAATTCCCTGGGCAACTGGGGAAACTGGCCCCACGTGTCCAGCTCATCAGGGTTGGGGCTGTGGCCAGATCTGGGCCTCCTGACGCCATGGCTGTGTGCTTCTCTGTCCTCCAGATGGCCCAGTGGAGGAGTCGAAGCCCAAGCCCCGGTGAGTGCATGCTTCTGTGCTGAAGCCCAGGGAGCAGAGGGCCAGTGAGCGGGGGTGATGGGATGGGACGGGGTGCAGTGGGCGTGAGCTGGGGGTGTAGCAGGTACAGACTACTGCATACAGTTGTACGGGTTGTGCACTGCAGAAAGATCTTTCTCTGGTTGGGCGAATGGGGCCTGAGTTCCTGCCTACATTCCACTATCATTCATGCATCCTGGCATGCATGGGGCTATGTTCATCTGAAGAAAGGGGGTGGACTAGTTATGTCCCTGCGGTGGACATGCTCTCCTACCTTACAGGGTAGCTAGACACCATCCTGCAGAGGGCGGAGCCTGGGAGAAAAGGGAGACAATTCTGGGCAGCCAAGTAATAAAACCACGCCAGCAGAGAGCGGCAAAGGGCAGAGCAAGGTGGCTTGGCCAGGTTTGGGGGACAGGAGCGCTTCCTTCCTTGCAGTGCTCATCCTGCCATCAGGGGGCGCTCACTGCCCGCACCAGTCCCAGTTCCCTCCAAGTGTCCAGCACCTTCCCTTCTTCCCGCCGCTGGATGGTCCTGCAGGATCTTACTGCAGCTCCACTCAGACCTGAGGGTAGATGGGGAGACGGAGGACCAGGGACCCAGCAGTATGTGTTGGGTTGGCACCAAAGTGCAGCACCGCTGGGCCCAGGGGCGCTCCCGCAGGTCAGCCACAGCCGCGGGCAGGCCGACAGTCCTGCTGTTGTCCCAGCGTCTCTGCTCCCAGCTGTGCAGTTGTGAGCAAGTCACCCTCCGAGCCTCAGTTTCCTTAAGTGAGATGCTGCTGCCTCCTTCTCCGTGCACCCCCGTGCTGAGCAAGAGGACTCCTGGGGTGGACATCAGCAGGGACGTCACTATGTGGGTGGCCGGGCAGCCCCGGAACCCCATGCAGGAAGGAGAAGGCCCTGCGGTCCCCAGTGGGGTTGGTGCTCCATGACTGCTCATTCCTTTCTCCTGCAGGCTGTTCATGCCCAACCTGGTGCCACCCAAGATCCCCGATGGAGAAAGAGTGGACTTTGATGTGAGCAGCGGTGTTGGGTAGCGCAGGCCCTGGTGGGGTGGCCACGAGGCCCACAAGAGGTCTCAAGTGGTGCTCACATAGACCAGGCCCTTCTGTACGGCCCTGGGCTCGGGTGCCTTGTGCACTGAGGGATGGTACGGCCTCTGCAGGACATCCATCGGAAGCGCATGGAGAAGGACCTGAATGAGCTGCAGACGCTGATTGAGGCCCACTTTGAGAACAGGAAGAAGGAGGAGGAGGAGCTCATCTCTCTCAAAGACAGGATCGTAGGTGTCCAGTCGTGCCCTCCCTTCCCCGCAGCCCACCCTGCCTTCCTCACCTTCTTCCGCCACGGTCTCTGGGGCTGCTGACCCTGCTGGATGTGAACTTCCCTCCAGCACCCCTGCAGTGGCCCTGCACGGTGGCTCCCTGGGTCCCTGCCTCCTCTCCCTGCCGGCCTGGACGCTCCTGGACGGCAGGAGCTGATCTGATGGCTTCTGGGCTACGGCAGGGCCTCACCCAAATCCCAGCTGCGGAATGAAGAGTGGAACACCCGTGGTTCCGCCCTGTCTCTGCCCTCCTCTCCCTTCCCCACTAATGCAAGGGGCATAAGAGTGACGTGCAGTCCCAGGTCACTGCGCTGGGGAGCAGGAGGCTACTCCACTCCTTTCTCTCCCTCTGCCTCACTTGCCTGTCCACAAATGTGTGCTCTGAGTGGCGGCCTATGACTCCCTGCCCATCCTGTCACTTCAAGCAGCTGCCAGGGCTGGGGCAGAGCCACAGCGCAGCCCTCACGCGAGACAGAAGCCCCCTGAGCCATGTTCCATGTGGGTCACCTGCCGTGCCCTCTTGTGTCCATCCTTATATCCACCTGGAGAGGGCCGCCTCTGCTGGCGTCTGTGCAGCTGGCTAAGAGCAGAAGCATTGGAGGAAGGGCACCTCGGGGTCCCTGACCCTCAGCTGCACGTGCCACCTCTTCCCAGGCCCACACGGGGCCTCTGCCTCTCCCTGCAGGAGAAGAGGCGGGCTGAGCGGGCAGAGCAGCAACGCATCCGGAACGAGCGGGAGAAGGAACGGCAGAACCGCCTAGCTGTGAGTGACCTGGCCCAGCCAGAGCCCCCAGCACCTGCCCTGCCCCCTCTCTATTCATAGACAGAGCGCCAGTCCAGAGACAGCCTGCGCCAAGCAAGCTCCACCGTTGCCTTGGCTCTGGTAACTCAGCAGGGAACAAGACGGCCATGCTGGGCCTTGAGGACGGGATGTGCGGGGACTCTCCACCCTCCTCCCTGCCCGCCCCTGCGCAAGCTCCCTGGGGACCGTGGGTGGTCACCTCCTGTGGCTGCTGATAGCCCTTTGTCAGCAGCAGTCCTTCTTGAGGAGCTCCTAGCCGCAGGGACAATGGCACCTCACAGTTGGCAAGGAGGGCCTTGTGCACTGGAGCAGTCACTCACTAAACTGCCTCGTGCCCGCTCTGTGCCCACAGAGAGCTCCTTCCCAGCAGGGAGGAAGCTGATCTTGCCCAGACACTTCAGTCCACAGTCAGGGCATCCCTCCCTTGCCCATAACTGCTCTCTTCCTCCTCCCTGAAAATCAGGAAGAGAGGGCCCGACGGGAGGAGGAGGAGAACAGGAGGAAGGCTGAGGACGAGGCCCGGAAGAAGAAGGCTCTGTCCAACATGATGCATTTTGGAGGCTACATCCAGAAGGTGGGTGGTGGGGGAGCGGGGATCCCCAGGAGGTCAGGGGTGTCCGTGAGGAACGAGGTGTCTGCTGCAGCAGGCACTACAGGTTGGATCTCAGGACGAAATTCCCAAGTGCGGCTAGGGGGAGTCTGAAGCCGCTTCCTGTCCAGCCCTGAGCTGCCTCTCAGGCCCGCTGTGGCTGCGCTAGGAGGGCCCTGCTGCGGGCAGAGGCCAGAGCACGGTGCTCCCCACCTGCACCCCGGGTCCAGCCGAGCCCAGGACTCCCTGGTGGCTGGGTGCAGCCGAAGGTGCCCTGTGCCTGGAGTCAGCGCTCTGGTAGGAGGCCCAGCTCTGCTATGTGTCTGACGCAACCTCTGAGCCTCAGTTTCGGCATCTGGACCGAGCTTTGCCTGCACCGCTTCTCTGAGGTCAAATGCACTAAGCGTCTGCGTCCTGCACAGATGTGCGGGCGTTTGCTCCTGGAACTCACGCTCAGTTCTGCTCTCCCACCAGCTGTGAAACTGACCTGCTGAGTGCAGTGCAGGGGATCAGAGCACTGTCTTACATTTCCAAGGTCCCCGGCTCTGCCACCAAGCCTACTCCTGGCCCCCATGCCAGCCAAATGTTTGGCATGGCCCTGAGCCCCAGACTCACGTCCTTGCGCACTGCCTGCCTATGCAAAGTCTGAATCACCTTCTCCTGTCTCTCTGCCTGTCTCCCCTTCATGTTCTGCCTTCTCTCTACGTCTCTGTCATGGTCTTGATCTTTCTGTCTGGGTCTTTCTCTCATGGTTTCCTGGCTTAGCAAGCCCAGGTGGGTACCGAAACCTCAAAAGCCTTCTTCCTCCCCTGGGTTTTGGGGAGCTCCCCGGGAAGGGACAGAGCCTCATTGTCAGAGGAGAGCAGAGATTGGGCTGGCGGGGAGAGAAGGAAGAGGCTTGTTACCCAGAGGAGGGTGACCTGGACCCAAGGGCACCCCTCTGAGGAATCCAGGCCGGTGACGATATGGGGTGCTGCAGGACCCAGACGATGAGGCTGGTTCTCTGCAGGTTTCACCCCGCAAGCAGGGGTGGGAGTGGAGTTGGGTGGGATGTCAGGGGACAGGAAGGGGTAATCTAGGCAAGCCAAGGGTCCTTGCTCGCCACCTCCTTCAGACAGAGCGGAAGAGTGGGAAGAGACAGACAGAGAGGGAAAAGAAGAAGAAGATTCTGGCCGAGAGGAGGAAGGTGTTAGCCATCGACCACCTGAATGAAGACCAGCTGCGGTAAGCTGGGCAGAGTGGCGCCTTTGGGGACCGCAGGCCTCTCCAGGGGTCAGCAGAGCGCAATTCTCTCTGAGTACCGCCAGAGGGCGCTGCTTCCCCACATATGTCCGAAGGCGGGCTGCCAGGGCTGGACTTGAGAGCCCGGCAGGAGGGGACTGAAGGTGAAGCCCCCAGTGCCCGGGAAAGCTGCTTCCGCTTCCTCCCGGTTTTCAGACGCTGTCTGGGCAGCTCCTAGTATCTGCTGGGCCGGGATGAGCGTGAAGGCAGATGAAGGGCCATCTTTACCCCCACCCCGTTCCCTCTGCACAGGGAGAAGGCCAAGGAACTGTGGCAGAACATCTACGACCTGGAGGCGGAGAAATTCGACCTGCAGGAGAAATTCAAACAGCAGAAATACGAAGTGAGCTCACGCGGCCCCGCCCCGCCCCGCCCCTCCTGGTTTGATGGGGTCCCAGCCTTGCCGACCCTCCAGCCCCTTTCCCCGCCCATCAATCCCCTCACTTCATGCGCCTGCTGCGGTTTCTCACCTCCCACAGTGTTCCTCCCCGAATCCCTCGCCCCCGCTCTGCTGAGCTCCCTTCGCCCCACCCCGGGCCTCCCAGGACCTGAGCTCACTGAGCCCTAACGGTTTTCCCCGTGCGTCTGACAGATCAATGTTCTCCGGAACAGGATCAATGACAACCAGAAAGTGTAAGTCCGGAGTCCTCTCGCTGCCCACTCCCAGCCCCTCAAGGCCGGTCTTCCTGGCCCTGCACCTTCCTCCCCTCCTCAGCTATTGGCTTCCTTCCTGGGCTCCTCCTGGACCTCCCTCTTCACTCCCCTTGGCCTCTGCTCACCAGTAGATGGGGTGCCTGACCAGCGAGGGCTCGCTCCTGCCCGCCCCCTGGCTGCTGCCCCTTCTGCCCTGGAGGTAACTCCAGGCTGCTTCTCTGAACCCTCAGCATCCCCGATCCTGCCCTTTACCCCATGGAACCCCACAGCCCTACTCTGTGTCCCCCACGGACTCGGTCTTGCTTCCCTTGTAGCTCCAAGACCCGCGGGAAAGCCAAAGTCACCGGGCGCTGGAAGTAGAGGCTGAGACTTCGTGGGCAAAACTGTTCCTTGCTGTGTCCCTGCCCTGCGCATCCCCCGCTGCTGGGCCCTCCCAGGCACCCAGGGCAGACTCCTGCCTGGAACCCGGGAGCTGGCCCAGCTGGAAGCCAGCACTGCTGCCTGCCCCTGTGCCCGCACCGTGCCAGGAATAAAAAGCCATCGCACACTGCACACAGTGAACGGCATCTCTGTCGCTCCCTCTGAAGCAAGGAGGGAGCTGTCCTCCAGGGAGCTGGGGTGGCCGTCAGGGCCTCGGGGGCAAGGCCCCTGGCATCTCGGCCTTCTGCTAGACTGGCCCCTTCCACCTGCCTCCAGCTGGGAGAGGCTGGCAGCCAGGGAAGGCACATGCTTTCTCAGGGCCTGGGCGGGAAGCTCAGCGGACAGGGCTTGTGAATGTGGCCCCTGTGAGTCACCAAGGAGCCGCGCTCTGGGAAAAGCCCCTTCGCATGGGGAGGGTGCATTCCCAGTGTGAGTCACTCCCCGAACAATGGAGGCCTCTCTGGATGGCTCCTGCTTTCTTTCTCTTCCTGGCCTGGGCGTGAAGGGCCAGGCCTGTCCAGGGAGGAAGGATGGGTGGTTCATTGCATAGCTGTCCCAGTCAGCGCGTCTGGGAGGCACGGACTAGTATGGGTGCCTCAGGTTCCCCTTCCTGTGACCTGCATGTCCTCTAGGATTGAAAGCCACAAACCAGGAGGAATAGTTAGCCAGATACAGAAACATTATGGGATGGGCGAACACCTAACCCGGGAGCTCTGGGACAAACCCTGAGAGGGAACGTCCTCTTGCACCACCATGCTGGTGCCCAGGCCGTTCCCTCTGCCTGGCGTGCCTCCTCCCACTGTCCGTTTGCTGTCTGACACAATACCGACGTATTGACCCTGTGCTGTATGCCAAGCACTGTGATAGACTCTAGTGACACATATGAAAAGGCTACAGTCCTGGGGCAGCAGGGCGGCGCTCCCTGCCCCATTTCCTATCCATCCATCCACCCACCCATCCATCCAGTCATTCAGTAACTATATCTTGAGTTCTAACTGTACTTGAGGTGCTGTGCTGGGCACTGGGGTGCTGTGGCTGAAGCAGGTGGGTCCCCAGTGCAGCCCACAGCTCCCAGGAGGGAAAGGCAGCACACAGCAGGTCCCAGCTTGGTGTGACAGCAAGGAGACAGTAAGGGAGAGGAACAGACACTCTCCAGCCCCTTCCCACCATGGCACGCGGGGCTTTCTGAAAGAAGTCCAGATGGGGAGGGGGAAGATGTCAAGGAAAGACGGGTGTGTGTGTGTGTGTGTGTGTGTGTGTGTGTGTGTGTGTGTGTGCGCGCGCGCGCGCGCGCGCGCGCGCATGCGCGTTGGGGAAAACTGTACAACATCCTAGAAGCAGAAGCCAGCATGGTGTATTTGAAGAGCTGCAATTATTAATAGAATCTAAGCCCCTTCCTGTGAGGGACAAAAAGGCCCTGGTGCAAGCTCACATCTACTGTGCTGACGACAATGCCTCCAGGGCTCACTTGCCTGGAGTTGGGTCTCTCTCAGCTGGAGCCCGCTGCTCTGAACCTCCCCTTCTCCGACACTTTCTGCTGTGCCACACTCCAGCTCTGGGGCTCTGGGTGAGTTACGCTGTGTCTCTGAGTAGCCCCAACTAAACACTGGGGGTGCTGGTGATGTAGCTTGGCAGCATAGCGCCTGCCTGGCAAGCACAAGGTCGTGAGTTTGACCCTAGTAGAAAAAAAAGCCCAAAACCAAAAAACAGTGGGGGTGACTGTCAAGGCTGAACGTTGCTGCTGTTCCCGTGATAACTCCCAACCCCTCTCTCCTAGGCTCCAGGGCTGGGGTCTCTCCTGCCTTCTGGGTTCCAGGCCCAGGCCTTCCCCGTGGCCAGACCAACGGGGGGGGGGGGGGCTCGGGTGGGCGGGAGCCGCTGTGCCTCTGGCCTGTGCCTGCCTGTGTGGCGGAGGCAGAGCTGGCTCTCAGGCTATCTCCACCCCTGACTCTGCAGCCCGGTTTCTGGAAAGGGTGGGGCAGCGGCTCAGCCTCGGTGGACCCGCCCTGGGGAGGGGAGGGACGGGCTCTCTGAGTGGCCGGGGTTGGGGGAGGGCAGGCGAGGGTGCAGGAGAGAGCAGACTCCAGGTTCCCACAGTGCCCAAGCCACTTACCACTCGGGGCGTGACTGCCCCTGACAGGCCAGCCTGCTCCCAGGGCCGCGGATGTGGTGAGCACCCACCCCTTCTCCTCTGCACAGCACACCCCGAGGATATCTTACTGTGGTCCCCTCCCAACTGCCCACGGTCCCCACCAACACCCCGGTGTTGGAGATGAGGAAACTGAGGTTCAATGAGTTTAAGCGACACGACAAGGCCCATTTGGTTAGTAAGTGGATTTGGACCCCGGTCTATGAGCCTCCACAGCCAGGACTCTTTCCAGCCTGTGGAACTTGTAAACTGAGGGCACCCCAAGTCTCCCCATGGCTCAGTGCCTGGGCCAGAGACAGAGCCTCCTGTGAGGTGGCTGAGGGTGGCTGGGATGGGGCACCGGCGTCTGAGTACAGGGAGCCTGGAGGACCTTCTCGATGGTGAGAGAGCAGCGCCAGCCTCGTCCTTTCAGGGGACAGTGGCAGCCCATCCCCAGGTCCTGGGGTGGGGGCGGGGGCTGTGGATCAGAGATGCAATCGTCCTTGCTTTGTCAGTGGGTTGCCTCATGATTCTGCAGAGTGTGTGAGCCTCAGGGCCACAGAGACACCCCTCGTCTCCCTCTGGTCTTCCTTCCTAGCCAGAGGGAGGTGCTGTTGTTTTCCTCCGACATCCTGGCCTTTCCTGCCTCGGCGGTGCCTTTCCCTACCCCCAGAATGCCCTTCCTGCCTCTCTGCCTTCCCAGCTTCTCCCCATCCCTGGGGCCTTGCTCAAGTCCCTGCTTCTCCAAGAGGCCTCCTGGCCCTGCGCCCTGAGCCCCTGTGGCTTCCTTGGGGAGTCCCTAGTCCTGCTGTGAGACTCCCACACTGAGACCCACTGCCTCTGGCTGTGGTTCTCAGAAACCAGGTCCGGTGCCCAGCCCAGCCCTTTCTCTCTGGCACTGCTACCGGCTGCAGCCCCAGCCACCTGCTCATCCAGGTTCTCAGTCCCCGCCCCGCCAAATACAGGAATTTAAATCACTCTCAACTGAAGACTCAGGAGAAAAATGTTTTCACACAAGCCCTCAGGTAGGGGCGGGGGCTGCCCTGCTCCACCCTGCTCCTCCCAGTTCCACCCAACCCCTTGGCTCTGCATCCAGGCTGACCGTGTCTGCAAGTGCCAGGCCTTCCACACACCCCAATCACAGAGCAGTTTCCCTGCAAAGTCAGGCCCAGCAACGCAAACGCCAAGGCCACCAGGCGGGGCAGGCCTGCTCTTGAGGAAAGCAGCAGGTGGAGCGCAGAAGTGGGGTGATTCTCAGGCTGAGAAGTGCTGAGGTTGTGCTGGGCTTGCAGAACACATGGCAGGTGGGGAGGCCTGTTGCCTCATCTGCTCCCCTCCCACCCTACCCGCTGTGTTCCAGAAGCCGGCCGCAGGGTGCAGTTGCTGAGGATGGAGGGAGATGGTCACTTCCCTTTCACTTGGGGAAATGGACATGCAGATTCCCCCTTTGATCTTGGCCCAGAGACCCCTCCAGCCTCCTCGCTCACCCACTCAAGCCTAAGTGTGGTAGTGCTTGCCGGGCTCTCCGGGAGACACTGGACATGGCTTCTGAGCCAGGCTTTAGTAACACAAACTGGATTAGTCTCCACACCCGAGTTTTCAGCTTTCCATCATTGTGACAGAGTACTGAAATAGCTTTGAAGGAGGAAAGTTTCACTTTAATACATTCTCAGAGGGCTCAGTTTGTGGCCAGCTCTGTTGCTTCTGGGCCTGTGGCAAGGCAGAACATCTGGTGACGGAGGAGACTGCTGACCCTGGAAAAGAGAGAGAAGGAAGGGCCTGAGGCTCCCATGTCCCATCTGTGGCCCGTTCCTAAAGACCTAACTTTCTCCTCTGAGCCCTACCTCTCCTGTAGTTCTGTCTACACTATGACCTATGGACCACTAGCCCTCTTTATTTTATTATTATAATTTAAAAAATATATAAAAAAGAAATTTTGTTACTTATATGCATTAGCTCTGTTATATATTATTTGTTTTTCTTTTCTAAATTTTCATTTTTCTTAGTACACGTTTGCAGTGTAAAATGCTTAAATTCATCACGGGGAGTTGGCACAGGTACATGACACGCCTTCATTCTTTTTATGTCCCCTTCCCCACATCCAAACAGTGGTCACTTTAGAAGAAGAATAGTTTTGATGTTGAAAGGGTCCTATGTTTATCTCCATCCCATCCTATCAGTGTGACCACTGAATCTGCTTGTTGTCAGTGTTTCCTTTAGAAAAGCTTATGATTCATCGATTCAGTCATCCTGTAAATTCAACAATATAATCCCTGTATTATATATTTCATATGTGACCCAAGACAGTTCCTCTCCATTCATCATGACCAGGCAAGCCAAAATGTTGAATGCCCATGGAAGTAACGTTCCACCACCTTGCAGTGGTGCCACCAGCTGGGGAAAAATTCTTCAACACATGGGCTTTTGTGGGAACATACTGGATCTACACTATAGCAACATGTTAGGTACCTACTATGTGCCTGACACTGTGCTATATAATTATATGGGCTCTCTAGTTACAGTAACCTACGAAGCTAGGTCCTGCATAAATAACTCCACTTTATACACATGGAGAGGTTCAGAGAAGTTAGGTGAATCATCAGAGTCATACAGGGATTATTTTTCTTATAATTTTAAAATTATTTGCATGATACACTTTCTGTCAAGTTAAGCCGTATGTCTGATGGGGACAACAAAAAAGCGTATTTTAAAGAGATTATATTTAGGCAGCAAGCATTTGAATAATTTCTGAGGAACACAAATAGTGTGTGTATTCCAGTCCTCTCCACAGGAAGGCTAGTGTGGAATGATGTCCAGATCTGTCATTGCAAGATTTGGACAGCTAGGAATTACAAATGCAAGGTCCTATCACGGCTCTTCACTCAGATAATGTGACTTGTGAATCTTCACAGCCCTCATCTCATTCCATTTCGGTTGTTGAACTCCTCGCCTCTCCCCTCATCTACACTGAGTGTTTCTTGGGACTTGGGGACCTGGGTTGTCC